AATCCGAGTAGTTGGGAAAACATTATACCTATTTGCATACTTTGTAAAGATACTCCTCGAGCTGAGTCTACCAACTCCCCCACCCCTTTTATAAACTCATCGGGCTTGTATACAGTATTAGGAGGTGATCTGGAGCGATCAATCATAAGACGGCCAACCTCAGTAGACTCTCCTATCATAATAGCATGCATTAGGTCAACAAAGTTGGTAAGATCTCTATTAGAGAGCTCATTAGCCAGACCACAGTCTAAGAACACCAATCTCACTGTACCCGCAGCGGCCGCATGGCTATTAGCACTAGTATCACTGGGATCAGTCATCGTTGGTACTTGTACTAGGATATTGCCTGGATGTAGATCACCGTGTATAAAGTTGTCAATGAAGAGCATATGCAGGAACGCCTTAACACCCATCTTGCAGATCTCCCTCTTTGACACCCTCATCCTGTCAATTATAACATCATCATCATTCACCACCTGACCATTGGTAGATAGTAATGAGCCTATGGGTACACCAGATTCGAATGACTCAATAAGAACAGTTTTAGTGGTGAGGTCCGAGTAGACTGTAGGGAACCTTATAGAGCCGGTATAATCCTTGAAGTTATCATTGAACCTCTGTATATTGGCAGCCTCAAGTCTTAGGTCTGTCTGGGATAACAGAAAGTCAGAGAACTGCTCTACCATGTCCGATACACCTAACATATGCTCAAGTGGTGGTGGTAGTAGCATGATTAGTACCTAGATGTCTTAGGAAAGGTAGATGGTCAGCTACATGTCCCAGAGCTTTGAGTATACCAAGGTCAATATTGATAATATCCTGACATCCTGGATGGGATACCTTCACTGCTACATCATGATGACCATTGTGTAGTAGTGTACCCCGATGCACCTAGTGATGGATAATACCACTGAGACCCTTGTCAATCATGATTACCTGAGCAATGCACCCACTACCTATCACTGATGGATCGATCTCTAACCATGTACGCCATTCAGGGCCATAGGACTGAACACTACCATATAGTATCATATGAGGGTGATGGTAGTAATACCTCATCTAGCTGCAGTAGTGTATCCCTATAGGAGTGAGGCCGTACTTGGGTATGTAGCTGTGATAGATATGATATTATGGTATCATTGAAGAGATCTCTACGAGTAGCCTATAGAGAATAGTACTTGAAGAGGAGTAAACATCAATATAGTATTACAGCCCATTGTCCTAGCTTAATAAAGGCAGGACCACTTCTCTCAATACAATGAACGAGCCATTGCCACCACCAATTATTGCATTTCCCAATACCTGCTCATCATCATCATGATGAAGGAGATGATGATAACTATAAGTTTGTTGTTACCCAAGAAGAGTATAGGGGAGGTGGCCAAGCATGGTCCGAATCGGAAGAATAATTGAATTAGTCTCCATAGAGAACGTAGCAATCGCTGTAAGAAGGATAGTTTAGGCTCGTTGGCCTTATCCAGCCTGGGTGTGGTATGAGCTCGTGGTTCTAGCATAGTACTACCTGACATACACACTACTACCTATCGTATATGGCTACCTACATGATGCAACTCCTTCAACCTGCCGCGGGGCAATAACATCAGCTACGGCACCAGATAGGCCCTGTCTTATACTACTACTGTAACGAGCGAAGGAGGCTGGTGTATCACAATATACCCTATTCATAGTCCAGTAAGAGCAGCTTGGCTTGTATGCAGTACTCCTAGTATCCTGCCCTAGAAGTCCAAGGCCTACCAAACCCACTGCCCCTGCTGTTGTGCCCATGAGCTTTGGTGCTAGGCCTCGTAACCCTAGCCCTAGCTGACTACGTAACGTATTAGCTAACAGAGAGTATATCGAGGGGGAACAAGCTGCTGACATAAACTACAAGGGTATATGGATTGACAGCGGACAAATACTACAACAAAACAGGTATGCTAGTGATGATGAAGATAACCATGTTACTGTATGATGATGATAGTGATAGTATACTGCATAGTCATCGATAGTCGAGCATAAGGCTGATTAGATCCTGAATGCTTACCACTACATCAACAACGGGAATGCTGTAATAATTACTGATACACCCTTCCACCCATAGCCTCCCTCATCCTTTCTACCTCCTCAATAAGCTCATCTGTAGATGTATCACTCCTGGTAGTTGGCAGATCCTAATAGTGTATATACTCACCATACACGGGATAGGCATCACCTTGGTATATCCATCAAGGTCACTCCTACTAGTGGAGGGACTCCCTGTTATTGAGTAGTACTGTTGATAACCTGTATTACTCCTTCTCTTCCCTCTACGAGGACTCCATACCCCTAGATCTACTTGCCGTCTATACCTACTACATGCTACTACGACTACACCAATCCTCAGTCTACTCTACTACTACCACTACCTCATAGAGCCGGATATCAAGCGTTCCCTCATAGCCTCACGATCCCGTTCTGCTACTGCTAACCTACATAATCAGCACTAATCCACCAACTATACTCGTCTGCTCGCCCTCCTACTATTACTACCTCTGAGTATCCACGATAGCACGTGGTACCGTCGTAAGCCTATTGAGCATCTTCTTATTCTGATGAGCTAACCACCCCATTGACGATACTCTTGCTGCCTCCTTTGTGTAGCCTCTTCTATTGCCTCTCCCTTGACA